CTAAGACCATCGGAAAACAAAAAGATATTTACATTACGATTCATAACAGTAGCAAAATTACAGTTATAGAGTAGCAACGAAAATAATTTTATGGTCGGGGGTCACCACAACATGAGGAACTGTATTAAGGGGTCACGGCATTAGGAAGGTTGAGAACCGCTGCTGTAGAGGATGCAGCGTCACTGGCCTTCATATGGGATCCAAACTGGGACACTGCTGCTCAGAGCTGGCGCTCCCAAGCCAACTCTTAACCCACGAGCCATTTGGCCGGCCCGAAACTGGTTAAATTCTTGAAAGCAGATATTAAATGCTACTTCTTCATGAAACTTATTCTTAATCATCCCAATGAAAAAAAATCCCTTCTGGAGTCCATGCCATCTTATCTGGACTATTAATAACAAAAGTCAGTGAAGTAATGTTTATAATCACTGTTCCAGCTCTCTACATATAATGAAAGCACATTGAGGTCAAGGATCATATGTCAGACTCTAGAATATAGCATTGGGTATACAGTGAGTGCTTAATAAACGTGAATAAAATTAATCTTTTAGGTTATTGAAAGTGATAAAATAATTTGGTCAGAACTGATTTAAAAACTATAACTAGTTTTAATGTGGTAAACTAACTTTGGCATTTGAAATATTAATAGTATACGATGAGAAAGCTGAAATCAAAGTGTAATAGTTACCTCTCAAAACAGTATAAATTAATACCATAGTGTTCTAATTAAAAGTTACAAATTTTCATTAATCTTTATTTTCTCTTCTAGGGTATTCCAGACAGAAGCTCATACGAAAATAGTGAGAGAGTCAGAAATTGCAGGTAAATATGTTAATGTAATCCCTGATACACCTGTTTTCTATAAACTTTTACTATAGCTATATAGTACTATAACCAGATAATTGATAAAACATTGTCTATCTTTTTGCTTAAAAAGTATAACTTGAACCATGGAGGATAGAAAGATTGTAATTAGTAATTTTTTTATTGTTAATGTCTTGTGCAATTTTTCTAATGCTTTATCAATGTATCCTTGAACACATTTTATTTCATTTTCAGAAACAGAAGCAAGGGAAAATGTTCTATTTATGCAGTAAGTAAGGAAAATGTGATTCAAATTGTATTTTTAAAGTTGTATATTAAATGAAGTGCTGTTTAAATTAGTATCCTTTTTGTTATTTATTTTTGGGTCTCTTCTGGAATCTCAGTATTAATTCACAAAACAAATTATTTGCAGAATTTAATATACTGCTATATCTGATAAGTATGTGTATTGTGTACAGTTTATTCTTTTAATAGAGTGATGAAATACTCCCTCATATATAAATCCTTAAATACATCAGCTAGTATAAAACAAATACCAAGTTTTCAGATTTTTTTCATTAAATTAGTTTTTATAATATTAATACATAGAAAAGTAAAGACCAGTAGTTCTTGAACAAATGAAAAGATGCTTATCTTTATAAGAGAAATACAAATTTAGACTATATTGAGATAATTTTTCATCTAATCAGTTAAGAATATAGGTAAAAAGTCACTCTCATTGCTAGTGGGTATAAATTGTAGAAGGCAGTTGGCCATATCATTCAAAATTTTAGATGCACATGCCCTTTGACTCAGCAATTTCATGTCTGGGGAATTTATCTCACCAACATACTTACAAATGTTTGAAATGAATATAAAGATCATTCACTATAGCCTGTATTGTAATAACAAAAGATGTGAAAGATCCTATAGGTCCATCAGTGAAGGACTGGTTAAATAAATTACAAATTTTCTGTGTAATTGACTCCTGTTAAAAGGGAAAAAAAGTTCCCATGAAATACTGATATAGAAAAATCCCTAAGCCATATTACCTCGGCTCCTTGAAGATAACCACTGTTGATAATTTTGGGTGTCCTTGCAGAAATTTTATTGTATATCCAATTTATCTTTAGCTCTATTTTTTTAAACAAGACAAAAAATAGAATCACTTAATAATGTCCCATGTTGTTACATATAGATCTACCTCAGCACTTCCCATGTTATAGATAGATCTACCTCATAATCTGTTGCATGTGTATGCCAACGTTTAGTCAGCTCCCTATTGGTGGACCTTTGGGTTGTTTCCTTTTATTTTTTAATTTATTTTTAAGGCTAAATTTCTAGAAAATAAATTGCTATATAGTTCATTCTTTTTTAAAATAAAATAATAAGCAGCATGTATTAAGCAGGTTTTTGTAGTATTCTAAAAATTAACAAACCATTAAGACAAATGTGAAAAAGGTTCTTTAATTATCATGTAATTTTTTCTGCCTGTATTAGATGAGTGGTTTTTTAAAGATGTCTTTGTATTTTCCTGCCTGTCACACTATGAAAACTTTTCACCTTCCCGGTTTTTGAGCTGTTGTGATTCTTGGTCATTGTTTGGGTATAGATTTTTTAAAACACTTTTTAAATTTTAGGAGTAAGAATCCAGAAGATAATTACTGTGAGATTACTGGTGAGTATGATCAGAATACTTTCTTATCATATACCTTCCTCTTCATCCAGATTCCTCGATAAGTAATGTCTAAAAGGACCATGAAAAAGAAAATGTGAAGAGAGCTCTATTCTTAACACAAAATCTTCCAATTTAAAATTTCACAAATTTACTTTATTTCTCCCAAACCTGCTTTTCCTCTTGACTTCTCAGCCTTGGACTCCCACTCATTCATTCACTCAAGTCAGGAAATGAGTCTTATTTTTAACTTTTGCTTCATTCCCTCTATCTATTTGGCCCCGCTCTCTTTCTATTCTGTCTCCTAAATATCTTGCAAATCTGTTACCTATTCTCTATTCTTTCTGCCACTGTTTGAATTCAAGTTCTTATTATTCTTCCTTGGGCTATTGTATTTAGTTTCTTTTTTTTTTTTAAGGATTTTTTTTTATTGGGGATTTGGGGGAATGGGAACAGCGCTGGGGAATTGGGGGAAGGGGAACAGACACGTTGCTGTCTTTTTGTTCTTCAGTCTAGCTGTGGAGAACGTTGCTTCACTGGCCCAGGTTGGCACCATTATTGTGCTCTTCCCGGGCGAGGCAGATCAGTTGCCAGCTTCTGGACGGCCGCTCACGCTGGCTGCTGGCTACACACGGTAGCCCATGGTAACCCACTGCCACAGGGGCTGCAGCCTACGCCGTCGCCGGTGACTCACGGCAGACCAGCTCCAGGTTGAGCAGTTGTTCAGCAGCTTAGCTGTGGAGGGTAGTGTCACTGGCCCTCATATGTGGGATCCGAACCGGGGCCCTCTGGCATCCGAAGCCAGTTCTTAACCATCGCGCCACTCGGTCGGCCCTGTATTTAGTTTCTTATCCTACTAATCCATTCTATATATTTCTAAATCTGATTACATTACCTCCCAGGTTAAAATTGTTCAATGACACTTTTTTGCTTACAGGATAAAACCCACACTCCTTAGAACAGACGTACAAAAAAAAGCCCTTTATGATTTGGTTTATCTTCTTCAACATTATTCCTTTCCCTTTATAAAGGCATCTTATGGTCTAGTTCATGAAGAACTATTTGCAGTTCCCCATGTGGACTTTTTTCCTCCTGTGTATCCATTGATAAATGCTATTTCCTCTACCTAAAGTGCTCTTCCTACTCCAATTTGCTTAGCAGTCTTCTCATTTTCCATTCATCTTAGCTTAACTTCAGTGCTATTCAAAGTACCCAGTCCACAAACTGTTACAGTCTGTGATAGAAGAGGAACTTGCACTAAAATGTAAATCAACTATGGCAGTAAACTACCTTTTGTTTAGCTTACATTTTTTTCTTAGCAAAGCTATTTTTGTTTTGTTTTGTTTTGTTTTTAGCTGAGCCATCCTCCCACCTGTTGGCCACTCAGTGGCAGCTCAGCTCGGGCTGGACTCGAACCGCTGTTGCTCAGAACTCAAACCCTTGAGCGAGCTCTTAACCAACTGAGCCACTCCGCTGGCCCTTAGCAAAGCTTTTTTGATGAAGGAAATATTACATGATTTACATTGGCTGCACGCAAGCTCCTTCTTCCATCATGAATTGATAACAAGCAGTTATGTGTGGCACCATACATTAAGTACTACTGGCTTAAATTGACCTTCCTCTGTCAAAACCAAGAAGTTAGAGTCACTTTGTCCTGTGCTCTCAGAACACCCCTTTTATTTCTCAGTCTAACGTAGAATCTCTATCACATTGTATTTTCGGTATTTACTTTTTGCTGTCTTATTAAACTAGAAATTCTTTGAGTGCAGAAATTTCGTCTTGTTCTTTGTATTTTAGTAGATAGTTAAGTTTTGGGGCATGTAATAGGTGTTGAATCCGTATTTTTTGAATAAATGAGTGGAAATATGATAAATATTGTAAATAAGGCTTCTAATAAAAACGCTGTAAATACTTCATGTTCAGTCAGTCATGGTTGCCATAAACTCTTCAAAATGTTCTAAAGATTTACCTTTAAACTTAAGTATTTTTAAATGTATTTCCTTTGTTAGTATAGCATCTTCAATCCTTTTTTTTTTTTTTAAAGATTTTTATTGGGGAATTGGAGGAAGGGGAACAGACAAGTTGCTTGTCCTTTTGTTCTTCAGCCTAGTTGTGGAGGACGTTGCTTCACTGGCCCAAGTTGGCACCATCATTGCGCTCTTCCCGGGCGAGGAAGATCAGTCGCTGACTTCTGGACGGCCACTCACAGCGGCTGCTGGCCGCTCACACTGGCTACTGGCTACACATGGTAGCCCATGGCAACCCACTGCAGCAGGACCTGCAGCCTATGCCGTCGCCGGCGATTTACGGCAGCCCAGCTCCAGGTTGAGCTGTTGTTCAGCATCTTAGCTGTAGAGGGCAGCATCACTGGCCCTCATATGTGGGATCCGAACCGGGGCCAGCTCTTAACCAATGCACCATTCGGCCGGCCCTCCTTTTCTTATTTTTAAAGTCCATTTTGTTACCCAAATATTTATATTTTAATTCTAAAATATCTTGAGTCTAATCCCTTACTTCCATTTTCATTGTCTCTTGCCTTAACAAATTCATCATGACGTGTGTGAACTATTACAGTAGCTTTCTTATTGGTTCATCTTCTCTTGAACCTACTTTCTTCTCTTTCTCTGGAATTATTTTTATAAAATTTCATATTAGGAATGTCTAGATTTCTTAATGTAGACTAAAATTTAGACACTTTAAAATCTTACCCTAACATTTCAGTCTCATCATTTGGTACTTTTTTCCATGTAACCTCTGCTATCCAGGAAATAAAAATAGAGAAGTGAAGGAGGAAAAAAGTAGTCTAAATTTTCCACCTTTAAAATCTGTACCACATTCTAAAAATATTTCAGTCACACAAGAAAATACAGTAATCACTGTTCTCTCTGTCCCTAAAAAGAGACAATTAAAAGTTAATAAAATTTAATATGTAAGTCCTTACAAAGAGCTTAGTAACTAATAAAACTTCAGTAAATATGGTAGTCTCCCCATATCCGTGGGGAATATGCTCCAGGAACCTCAGTGGATACCTTGAATCCACAGATAGTACCAAACTCTATATATACTATATATTTTTCCTATACATACATACCTATAATAAAGTTTAATTTATAAGTTAGGCAGTTTCACAAATAGAAAATTTGTTCTTACCTTAGATTTTAGCAACTTCAACGTACAGGTTTTTTTTTTTCCTTATTAAGTTGAGAACTTTAACCTTTTCACTTAACGGAAGCATATTTGAATTGCCAGCATCACTACTGTTGGACTTTGGGGCCATTACTAAGTAAAATAAGAGTTACACGGACACAAGCACTGCAATACCATGACAACTGATCTGATAACCGAGATGTCTATTAAGTGACTAACAGGCAGGTAGACTATATAGAGTGAGTATGCTGGACAAAGGGATGATTCATGTCCTAGGCAGGATGGAGCAGGATGGCTCAAGTTTTCATAATGCTGCTCAGAATAGCACGCAATTTGAAACTTATGAATTATTTCTGGAAATTTCCATTTAATAATTTTGGGTCATGGTTGACCACGGGTGAGACTGCAAAAAGCCAAACCGCTGATAAGGGGGCTACTCTACTGATAATTAATGAAGAACCTAAGAAAAGGAAAATCAGCCTCTTGGTGATATATGTATATTTTATCATTGGCTAGTTTGTTTGTTTTTTTCTCAATAGGGATGAACACATTGCTTTGTGCTCCCATTCAGACCCAGATGCAACAGAGAGAGGTATGAGTTCATGCAAGTGCTTTCATAGTTTAATCTCCCTTGACAGTTAAAACTTTTTAAAAACTCAAAATTTAAGGGTAATGGCATGTAGGGGTTACTTACCAAAATGGACCCATAGACTGGAAAATCTTCCTATCCTTTGAGTTAACGAATGATAGTCAAATCACTGCCAGTTTAAATAATAGAGAAATATATTAGTTATATCAGGACTTCTCAAACTTTAATGGGCATATGAATCATCTCAGAATTTTGATAAAATATTGATTCTTATCCAGTAGATCTGGCATGTGCCCTGAGATTCTATACTTTTAGGAATCTCCTGGGTGATACTAGTGCACTGGTCCATAAATCATACTTTGAGTAACTAGGAGTTTGACAAATAAAACCACCGTGTTAAGGTTCAAAGAGAACCCAACTCCCAAGAGTACAGAGTGTGCTATAAATTAGCCATCATGCACTTATCTCTTTCTAAGTCTTTTTTATTTAGAATGAGAATGACCTATTTAATACAGTAATTAGAATTTTCATTATAGTTGCATTTGGTATTGTCAGTCGTTTTTATTTTTTAGTAATTCTAACGGCTGTATAATTAACCCTAAACTTTTAATTTGTCCCAAAACACTAAAAGTATTCAGACTTTAGAAAAAAATTTAATAACAAATTACATACCACACCATTGATTCAAACTGATGTATCATGAATCCATTATTGAGGATTATTTATATAGTACTCTATATATAGTACATGTTGTAAAATACCTTTTTAAAAGTTTACATTTTATTTGATTTTTTAATGTTTTGCTTTTATTATAGATTACAATTACACAGTACAACCATGAAAAGAAACATACAAATGACCAGACAGTCATCTTTTCAGATGAAAACCAGATGGACCTGACAGCAAGTCACACCGTGATGATTACCAAAGGCCTTGTAGATTATACCAAAAGTGAAAAGTCCACCAAGATAGATACCACATCATTTCTAGCTAACTTAAAACTCCACACTGAGGATTCGAGAATGCAAAAAGAATTAAATTGTTCCATGGATCAAAACACTTCTTCAGAAAAGAAAATAAATTTCAGTGACTTCATAAAAAGGTTGAAAACAGGAAAATCTATTTCTACAGGACCTGATAAAGAAAATTCTGAGATGTATATTCATTCCAAAGAATCAAATAGGGCCTCTTCTATAGATCAAATGCATGTATCTCTTAATGTAGATGAAAATGGCAGTAATATGACTAGAATCTTTGGAGAACAAGATAATGGGATGAATTTCACCCAGTGTCATACAGCCAATATTCAGAGTTTGGTTCCCACATCTAGTGAGGCCAGCTTAAGGGAATTTAAAAGTGATGATATTACAGTTTATGGCAGTGACTTGATGGACTTGACAGCGAACCACACTGTACAAATTTTACCCTCAGCAGATAATTTATCTGAAATAGAAAATCAAGCTCAGATTTTCACGATGGATGTTACAACAGGTTATAAAACTAAAGCTCCAGAAAAGAAAACTGTTTTTAAGAGTAAAATGAATACTGCTCTTCAAGATCTTTCCTTAAATCCTAAAGGTGAAATACATATTACCAGAAGTCATATTACAGGGACAGAAACTCACACAGTCACACAGACTTCTAATCAAGATAGCAGAACATCAGCCATGATCCCAGAATCTATATGTTCTAGTCCAGCTATTCAAGATTATAAGACATTTTTATATTCTAGCTGTAATGATGCCATGGAATTGACTAAGTGTCTCCCAAGTATGAGACAGGAGAAAAATTTGCTAAAGCATGACAGTAATTATTCCAAAATGTATCCCAATCCAGATGCTGCCTCTCTTATAGAGAAAACTATTTATTCTGGAGAGGATAACATGGACATTACCAAAAGTCACACAGTTGCAATAGATAATCAAATTTTTAAGCAAGATCAGACAAACGTACAGATAGCAGCCATACCAGTATCTGAAAAAGAAATGATGCTCCAAAATCACATAACCGTGTCAAAAGATGAGGAAATGAATGTAAATTGTAGCTCAGTTCCTCATGTATTTAAGGAAAGAACACAACAGGGCCTGGCAAATCCTCTGTCTATTCCATTGACTGGCAAAAAGACTGTAATCTTCACAGGTGAAGATATGGATTTGACTAAAAGTCACACAACTAACATAGGAAGTCAAGTTCCTCTTGCATTTTATAATCTAGCCTCTGAGAATACAAATAAATCTCAGTCTGACAACAAAAGCCCTTTAGATGAATTAGAAGAAATTACCAAAAGTCATACCAAACCATACCAACAACCAAACATAATATCTGAAAATATCCTAACTGACACCTGGGGCAAAGAAAAAGATCAAGTTTTGAAGATTTCACCCTATCTTGATAAAGATTTTCCTCAGTCAACCAATATTAACCAGGACAAAGCAACAAGCCATAATATAGTATACTCTGGTAGAGATTTTAATAAACAAGTAGCACTGGGAAATAATAGAAATATAGTTTCATGTGAGCAATCTTTGTTTCCTACTGCAAAACTATTTTCATCAGAAGGACAATCTGCCATGAAAAATCATAATACTGCTGTTAATAGTCATACAGTAAAATCTGTACCAAGCCAAAATTCTAAACTGCCTGAACCACTCAGGAAAAGTTTAGGCAATCCCACCCTTGACCCTACTCATGACAAGACAATTATTTGTTCAGAAGAGGAGCAAAATATGGATCTAACCAAGAGTCACACTGTTGTCATTGGATTTGGTTCTTCTGAAATACAAGAAGTTGGTAAAACTAATTTAGAAAACACAAACGGCCAACTAATGGTAAACAGACAAGTAGCTATGAAAGTTGAAAAATGTAATAAAACTCCTATAGAAAAAACTGGAGTATTTATTTCTAATGATATGGATGTGTTTGAGGACAGAAATGTACAGAAATCTGGATTTCTGAATGGAAAGCAAGATGTCAAAATTTGTGAAAGGAAAAGTGTTGGCAGACTAAAAATTGATAGGACTATTATATTTTCAGAGTGTGATTTAAATGATATGGATATCACCAAGAGTTATACAGTGGAAATAAATCATAGACCTTTATTAGACGAACATGATTCCCATTTGGTGCCGTTGGCAGGAACTTCTAAAACTGTTTTGAATACACGTGGGGAGGATGACATAGAGATCACTAGAAGTCAAACAAGTGCCATAGAATGTGACACTGTCTCACCAGATGAAATAACTACTAGGCCTGTGGACAAAACTGTAATGTTTGTAGATAATTGTGATGAACTAGAAATGACAAAGTCCCACACTGTTTTCATTGACTACCAAGCAAAGGAAAGAACTGTGCTTCCGGACAGACCTGACTATGAACTATCCAAAAGGAAAAGCCTAGTCAAACCAAAAGTGACTTCTGCTGAGAGTTATTTCTTTCCTCAGAAAGGTGAAAGTGACCATTCAGCAAAAGTCAGCCAGCTAACACTGTTGGGGGGACGGTCTAATAGTGGTCTTATGGAGAAAACTGTAGCATTTATAGCTAATGATAACATGGAAATGTCTACATCAACCGTTTGGAAAAATGACAAAGATGTACAAAAGCTTGGATTTCTGAATGAGCCTCTGTCAGGCAAAAGTCAAAGAAGGAAAAGCCTTAGACTCAATGACAAACCCATTGTCTTTTCAAGTAACGATAAAAATGATATGAATGTCTTCCAGAGTTGTATAGTGGAAATAAATAACAAAAGTGCCCTGGAAGACAGAGGGGACTTGGCAGGAACTTCTAAAACTATTTTGTATACGCCTGGGCAGGATGACATGGAGATCACTAAAAGTCACACAACTGCCTTAGAATGTAAAACTGTCTCATCAGATAAATTAACCACTAGGCCTATGGACAATACTGTAATGTTTGTAGATAATCACAGTGACCTGGAAGTCACCAAGTCCCATACTGTTTTCATTGATTGTCAAGCTGAGGAGAAAATACTTCAAGAGTGCCCTAAATTTGGAATAACAAAAGAAAAAACCTTGAGTGTTTCTTTTTCTAAGGATAGTAGCTCTGTTCAAGAAATCATTAGGAAACAGGCACAGGCTACAGAAAACAAAATTGTTCTTCACACTGAGCAAAAGTATCATGTGATACCCTATTCTGCTAATACATTGTCTGAGGATCAAGGTGAGATCGAAATCATCAAATTCCATAGCACAGCTGTGGATGAAAAGGTCAGGGGAAAAGTTGTAGACCAGGCCCATACATTGGAAAATGCCAAACTCGAAGGCTGCCACTTAAATAGCAGAGACAGAAGAAATGTGAATTTTACAAACAGTTGTGCAACTGCTAATTTTGGATCCAGTGATAATTATTCCTGTTTACCAAATGTTATTTCCTATTTTGATAATTTGGAGGAGACTGCCATGTCCTTATGTAATAAAAATGAGAAAGCCAGTAATTGCCCAGTACAAAATGATCTTGCTAATGCAAATGTTTTACCCAGTGAACATGACTTGAAATCTGAGGGACTGCCTCTCTCTGCTCCTTGTTCTTTGTTAGAGAAGGAAAAAGTTGTTCAAACCAATACCAAAGGACAGTTAGACTGTATCAAAACAGTGTTCAAAGATCAAGATCTGATTAAGAAGCCCCAAAATCTATTAAGTAATCAAACTTCAGTATATGGTGAAGATTTGGGGGATATGACTAAACTTGATACAAAGCAAGTACCTTTTAAGCTTCCAGAGGATCAAACAGAGGCCTTTGTTGATGTTTGTGTTCCTTCTCAGCCTCATCTCTTAACCCAGCTACCTCCATTACCTCAACAAGGACATAATATTCTTAGTAAAGATGAAAAAACATTGTCTAAACTTGGAAATAAGAATTTAAATATTATTATAGGAAATCCCTCAATACCTACATGTGGAAATGAATCCAAAATGCTCAGTAATGAGAAACAGGTTACTGTAGCATGTGAAAAAGAACTGAAGAAAAATATTCAAGCAGCTAAATGTAGTACAGCTATAGATTTCGACAGTAACTCAGACTTGACTAAACAAGTTATTCAAACTCATGCCAATCTTAAAGTAGTGTCAGATCCTGTATTTGCATTGAATGCTGCAAATTTTAGTAGTGTCAAACAAAATCTGAATAATATGAGTGGGAAAACTGAAGAATTTTTAGATTTTCAAACTGTCCATATTCCACCTTCTCCAGAACCATTACTTAAATTAGTAAGTAAGGCAGACAATGATGTGAGTATAGTACAAGTCACAGAAATGCATAATACTAACACAGTGTCCAGCAATGTTAAAGATAATAGAGATGAAGAAAATAAAATTTCTCATAGTGGAGCTGATACCAACTCTGTACCATTAATGACAGTTGTAATGGATAAAGTGAGGAGATGTTCTCTGGGAATATTTTTGCCCAGGTTGCCAAACAAGAGAAATTGTAGTGTCACTGGTATTGATGACCTGGAGCCGATTCTGTCAGACACAGCTGATTTAAATCACTTCGAAACTCAGCCGGTCTCCAGTAAGGATTCAGGCACTGGATTTGTTGCAGCTAAAATGAACTTAAGTCCATCTCAATATATAAATGAGGAAAATCTTCCTATATATCCTGGTGAGATTAATTCTTCAGACTCTATTAGCATAGAAACTGAGGAAAAGGCTTTGATCGAGACATACCCAAAAGAAATTTCACCATCTGAAAACAAAATGGAAGAAACCAGCAATAGCCAGAAAAGAACCTGGGTACAAGAAGAAGATGATGATGTTCAGAATGAGAAAAAAATCAGAACAAGTGAGATTAAGTTTAGTGATACTGCACAACATCAAGAGGTGAGCGCTCTTGAACTAAGGAATGGTCTTGATTTTAAAAAATATGAGTACTCTTGAATTTCAATTTTAGTCTTGGGTAAGCAGTAATTGATTTTTCCCGATTACAGGGCTGGAGAAATATTTCTATGTAGAATCTTAAGGAGTTAATTGACTAACAGCTAGACTTAAAAACAATTTAAAGTGACAAATCATCACAAAAAATGAAATGGAAACTAGTACAAAAATTAACATTGAAATTGTGTGATTTTAAGTATTCTGCCACCTCTAGTGCTTTGTCATTGTGATTTTGCATATGGAAATCTCTAGGCAGGGTATATGTAGTTTGAAAAGTCATCTTCAGTATTTTAAATACTTGGAGGGTAAATCCTTTTTATTATGCAGACTGCATAGAGAAATGCTTGACTGAATTTTCTTGGCTAATGAGGATATGTAGAAGCTGAGAGTCCATTTCTTTAGTGGATGAGAAAATGCCTAGGACAAGCCCATTATCTGAAAGTGAAGTAAGTGAGATTTTGTATTTATGAAAGAGGTCATAGATATTAAAGTTAAAGGAACACTGATTTGAATAACTTGGGAGAATAAAAGCTGTCACTCAAACTGAGTTTTATAGGTAGAAAAATAAAGATTAGAAAGTATCAGATATTCATAGAAAACAAAGTTTAAACTTGAGAAATATTTAAATAAGCTTAGAAGATGATTTCAGTGGTTTTATAAGATGAGGTCCTGAGGAAATGGTTTGTCTATGAAGGCTTGAGAAAGTTAACTAATATAAAGTGTATAACTGAATAGAGTCTATGAAAATTAGTATTTGTTCAGTAAATATTTATTTAGTATCTGCTATGGTCCTAGGTACTATTCAGGTGCTGGGAATGTTTCAGTGGGAATTTATAGATAAAAATCTGCTCTCATGAAGCTTGCTTTATACCATTTAGACAAAGAATATAATGGCCTCAAAAACATATGTAAATAGGTAGATGAAAATGGCATTTAAGACTGTAAAGTGAAATGGTTAAAATGGTACAAGCAGGATCACATGTCTTATTTGACTTCAGCCAAAGGAGTCTTGGTCACCAGGTGAAGAAAGTACTAAAGCCTGGAAATAAATTGTCTTTCTACATTCTAGCCAAGGCCACCATGTACAGCCAGTATTCTATTCTGGTTTTCTGCAGTGTCGTCGCCCTGACCTTGGTGGGTAGTAGTTGAGTAGTTGGATAGGTCGGCATTTAATAGCTCATAGGATCTGCATATAACTTAGATACATCTGAGAAATAATTTGCTTATACAGTATACACAGTTATTTCTATATATTTTAAAATAAAGTTATTCTTAACTCTAAAGACCTCAGTTACCTGTTACTTATTCTAATTGTTTGCTAAAGTATTTTGTATAAGTTATAGATAAATTTTAGTATTTGTTAGTCAACAATGAATCATTGTTTAAGTATACAGTATCATAACTTTATCCTGATGATGTTCCTTAATTGATAATTTCAGATTTTTGATCACCGTGCTGAAGGGGATATAGATAAAAATGCTAACAGTGTATTGATAAAAAGCCCAAGCAGGACCCCATCTAGTTGCAGCAGTTCTCTGGATTCGATCAAGGCTGATGGGACCTCTTTGGACTTCAGCAGTAAGATTCATAAAAGCTAATTAATAGAAGTCATCTATTTACTTGACTAATAATAAATGTATTATAAATAAATGTATATTCAATTCAGGAGATATTTAAAAATTTATATAAGGTTTTTGGGAGTTATAAATAGCTGATTAGTAAAATAATATTTAGTTTATTTTTTATTTTTATTTTTTTATTTTGTGATTTTTTTTTAATTTAGTTTGTTTTTAATTCTTAGTTATTTTCATAAATTGAGATGTAATATACTACAAGGGGTAGAGTGATTTCCTTAAGAGGTTTATAATCAGTAGAGAAACGTTGAATGGAGCCTTAAAACTAACGTACTTTGCCCTACAAATGACAGTCTTCCCAAAAAGATCCTAGTGGATAGCTTCAGGAGTATGAACCACACATAAACCTGAATGATCAATAAAATAAAGTTTACAACTTAATTTTGATTTGTTCATCACCTGAATTTGCCTTACTTCTAGCACACCGCAATAGTCAAATGGAGTCACAGTTTCTCACAGACACTATTTGTGAAGAGAGCTTGAAAGAGGTATGTTAAAGTATTTCTCATTTCTAATGCAACTAAATTCCTTGTTTTATTTTTTCTCCTTTTAATTTTTAAAAAATTATGAACTATTTTAAATATACAGAAGACAAGTTTTGTTTTCTTTGTTAAGGACCCGACCTGGCAGTTATGTATTATATGGAGTACAAATCATGATTAGAAGACCTACGTTTTGTTGTTTTTTTCCCCCAGTTCTGTTACTGAATAACCTTAAGAAATAAATATTAGATAAAATCTACTCATGTATAGCCTACAAATATCTGGATTGTATTTCCACAAATATTTGCAAAGCACTTTAAACTATTTAGAAACAAATGAGATGGTTATAATCAAAATGAACTCACCTTGAATGGTCATGCAAACTTTTTTTTTCTTTCCTTAGAAACTCATAGATGGGAGAATAACAATAAAGGAGTTCCTTATACTTCTTCAGGTCCACATTTTGATACAGAAACCCCGACAGAGCACTCTCCCAGGCAAAGTAAGTGCAATTTCTTGGCAAAATAGTTGCCTCAGTTAAAATACGAGTATATTGTACTTACTTACTAAACTGCATCAAAGCAAACATTTATTCAGAAACAAAAAATGAGTCTAAGGAAGCAAATTCCCTGACAAAGTTTTCCTATAATATTTACATTTGTGGTTAGCATAAAAATTGATATATTTTTATATCCTGGATTTTGATAAGGTGACAGATTTTTTTCCTTCTTGAAATCTATTTTGTTTTTGATACTTTTTCCTGAACATATGCTCTTTCCTAGTATTATAAAAATCCAAGTTTAACAGTTTTTAATAAATATTTTTCAAAATTAAATATATTTAAGATCATAGAATATTTCAATAACACAATTAACAAACTCAATTTAAAAAATTAAAAGAGGGCCTGCCAAGTGGCTCAGTTGGTTAGAGCGCGAGCTCTGAGCAAGAGGGTCGCGGGTTCGATTCCCACATGGGCCAGTGAGCTGCGCCCTAGCTGAGCTGGTGAGAGCGCATGCTCTTAGTACTGTTCGACACCCCTATGGGATGGTGGCTGTACCCCCCTCCCCGCTCTGCCTCGCAGCTAAGATTGAACATGGCACCTTGAGCTGAGCAGCCACGAGCTGCCGACAGGTGGCTGGATGGCTCAGTGTGCAACAAGGTTGCTGGTTCGACTCCAGCATGGGATGGTGGACAACACCCCCACGCCCCCCCACCCCCAACTAGATTGAAAGCTGCGACTGGACTTGGAGCTGAGCTTGTGCTCTCCATGACTAAGATTGAAGGACAACTTGACTTGGAGCTGATGGGTCCTGGAAAAACACAATGTTTTCCTTCTCCAATTCCCCAATAAAAATCTAAAATAAAAACATTAACAGAAAACCTTATAATGCTTTCTTAGGGATATTTCTTTTCTCTTAAGTCTGTTGAATATTAACAAAAATTAGTTATGCCCTTGGCCACAAAGAAAACATCAACAAATTGAAAAAAATGGAGATTTTTATGGACTGCATCATTTGATCTTAATCCAATAAAATTAGGACTGATAGAAGGACTAAAATATTCTTAGCTTCTTGAAAATTAAGAACCATACTTTTAGATCACTCTTACATGAAACAGGAAATCAAAACTATTTAGAAAGCAAAATAAAGGAGAACACATTATACCAAATCTATGGGACGTATGGGGAAAATTATGTTTGGCAGGAAATTGCTGCGTCCCGCACAGCACAGGCAGTGAGGAGTCAGCGGGGACGGTGTAGGGTTAAAGAAACAAAGAGACAAAGATAGAATTAAGACATGAGGCCAGGGGACTGCAGTTCTCGCTCTGAAACTGAGTGCCGAATCGGGCCAATGTATGGCTTTCATTGAGAAACTTTCAAAAGAGTAAAGAAACTTTCTTTCTAAAGTCCGTGTGATAAGTGCCTTAAGGTCAGTTTCCATCAACCAGCCCCATTGTACTCCAGCACATGCTGTGCCTTCATACTCCTACACACACAACCCCCAGGATGGTACAGCTGCTGCTGCGGCCATGAACTAAGGGAGATAACCGACATCATTCCTCCGGGTCCCAGTTTTCCAGGACACTCCCTTGAGGTAGCTTGACCGATATCATTCCACCGGGTCTCAGTTTTCCAAGACACCCTCTTGTGACCTTGTTAGGTCAGGGGCTGGTGTGGGGGGGGGCAGTCAAGGATGAGGCTATAAGGCAACAGGAAATTAAAAGCCTCACATATTATTGTTACAGAAGAGACTCTAAAAATAAAGGAATTCTTAATACTTTAAGAAATTGGAACAATAGCGGGTGGCAAGTGGCTCAGTTGGTTAAGAGTTGGCTTAAGAGCATGAGCTCTGAGCAACAGGTTCGATTCCCACATGGGCCAGTGACACTGCACCCGAGCTGAGCTTTTGCTGAGCTGCCAACATGTGGCAGGATGGCTCAGCTGGTGTAACAACAAGATTGCCTGTTCGATGGTGGGCTATGCCCACCTGCAACTAAGACTGAACTCGGCACCTTGAGCTGAGCTGCTGCCCGGATGGCTCAGTGGACTTTGATGTCAGAGACTTGAATTCAAATTTCAACTTGTAGCTTTACTAGGTATAAGAATTTTAATGGAGTATTCAAATTTTTCTTTGTAGAACTTTTCAAAATAGGCACCCTGAAACTTCAAACAATTCTTAAACATGATTTGTCCTTAAAATACCAGTTCTGAGGGACTGAAAAAAAAAATTTTTTTTTTCCAGTTTACTGTAAACACACAACCTACCCTGGAAGACCTGATGTTAAGTCAATATGTTTACCGACCCAAGATACAGATTTATAGAGAAGATTGTGAGGCTCTTCGCCAAAAGATTGAAGAGTACGAAAGGTTTTTTTTGTTTTTTTGTTGTTGTTGTTGGATGGGTTAAAAAACCTGTGTGGTAAGATTTTAATGCAAATAACAATGACATAGAAAAAACTTGGTGGCATTAATTGACGGTATGATACAGTATGTTTATAAAAAGAGTTTTGGCTTTATCAGACAGATTGAAGCTCAACCTTGGCTACAACACTAGCTGTGTAACCTTATGTATGTCATTTAACCTTTATTTCCACATCCATAAATTGGGGATAGTCATATCTACTCACCAGGTAGAAATGAACAGTAGAAATAGTGTATATAAAATGTTTTCATGCCATTTTTAGCAAAAAGTATGGCCTCAATAAACAATAATTATTAGATTATATCATAAATTGTCTGCAAATGAACATCTTCAAAAGTAGATAGTGCCCTTTACAGATTTATGTATAGTGCCTAAAATCAAGAATGCCTTTGGGTTTATAATTTTATCACTTTTGCCCTTGATTTGTGTGTATAAAAGAACATGGTTTTACTCGGACTATAGCTCAGTGCTTAGGTATATATAGGCGTTGCAGACAAATTTACAAATTAGGTATAGTATATCTAGTTTCCTGAAGGTACAGGATTTGCAAAATAATGTTTTTATCATTCTTATCTAGAACTGTCCAACTAAATTTGAACCAATCTAACAAAAGAAATAAAATAATCTTTTAAGAAGTATGGAGTTTTAAAAATAGAAACTTAAGGGCCGGCCGAGTGGTGCATTGGTTAAGAGCTGGCTTGGGACACCAGCTCTGAACAGCAGGGTCCCGGTTCGGATCCCACATGAGGGCCAGTGACACTGCCCTCTACAGCTAAGATGGTGAACAACAGCTCAACCTGGAGCTGGGCTGCCGTGAGTCACCGGTGACGGCGTAGGCTGCTGCTCCTGCTGCAGTGGGCTGCCATAAGCTACCGCGTGTGTGTGGCTGGCAGCCAGTCTGAGCAGCCGGCAGCTGGTTTGAGCTGCCAAGAGCCGCCGTGAGCAGCCGTCCAGAGGCCGGCAACCAATCTGCCTCACCCAGGAAGAGCGCAATAATACCAACATGGGCCAGTGAAGCGACGTCCTCCACAACTAGACTGAAGAACAAAAGGACAGCAACTTGTCTATTCCCCTTCCCCAGATTCCCCAGTGCTGTTCCCCTCCCGCAATTCCCCAATAAAATCTTTAAAAAAAAAATAGAAACTTAAGATGCTGTTAAATGATAGTATTGCAGATTTGCCTGATTCTGGTTTGTTTACTCAACCAATTTATATATTGAGCACCTAAGTACTGGGGTTCTTCACTAAACAAGACAGACAAGTTTCTTCTTGTTAAAAGAACTTGAGGACCGGCCGAGTAGCGCGTTGGTTAAGAGCTGGCTTGGGACGCCAGAGGGCCTCGGTTTGGATCCCACATATGAGGGCCAGTGACACTGCCCTCCACAGCTAAGATGCTGAACAACAGCTCAACCTGGAGCTGGGCTGCCGTGAGTCGCCGGCGACGGCGTGGGCTGCAGTCCCCTGCTGCAGTGGGCTGCCATAAGCTACCATGTGTAGCCGGCAGCCAGCGTGAGTAGCCGTCCAGAGTCCAGCGACTGATCTGCCTCGCCCGGGAAGAGCGCAATGATGGTGCCAGCTTGGGCCAGTGAAGCAACGTCCTCCACAACTAGACTGAAGAACAAAACGACAGCAACTTGTCTGTTCCCCTTCCCCTGATTCCCCAGCACTGTTCCCCTCCCCCAATTCCCCAATAAAATCTTTAAAAAAAAAAAAAAGAATTGAGGAGGGGGCCGGCCGAGTGTCTCAGTTGGTTAAGAGTTGGGTTAAGACCATAAGCTCTGAGCAACATGGCCGCCAGTTCGATTCCCACATGGGCCAGTGATGCTGCACCCAAGCTGAGCTTTTGCTGAGCTGCCAACAGGTGGCAGGATGGCTCAGCTGATGTAACAACAGGATTGCCTGTTTGATGGTGGGCTACGCCCACCACAACTGAGACTGAACTTGGCACCTTGAGCTGAGCTGCCACCTGGATGGCTCAGTAGATAGAGCGTGAGCTCTTAACAACAAGGCTGCTGGTTCAGCTCCCTCATGGGATGGTGGCTATGCCCAACCGCAACTGAGACTGAACTCGGCACCTTGAGCTGAGCTGCCACCTGGATGGCTCAGTGGATAGCGCATGAGCTCTTAACAACAAGGCTGCTGGTTCAACTCCTGCATGGGATGGTGGCTATGCCCACCTGCAACAAAGATTGAACACAGCACCTTGAGCTTAGAGGCCACAAGCTGCCGACGGGAAGCCAGATGGCGACTGGCACCCTCCACAATGAAGATTGAAAAACGACAACTTGGCTGGTCCCCTTCCCCAATTCCCCAACACTGTTCCCCTCCCCCAGTTCCCCAATTTTAAAAAAAAAAAAGTTGAGTATCTCAGGGTTTGTCTGAGAATATTTTATTTTGAATGAAATAGGATCTTGCATACAATGAACAATTTGTTCAGATGTACTCTATTGTTTGATTTTGCACTTCTGTGCTTGTATATAATATCTTCTAACTCTGATACAAATTTATTTCTTCTGCTTATTAATAAGAGACTAATATATAACTGCTACTTTTATAAATGGTATTCTTTAATGGTGAGCTAAGACTTTGAACTGAATTGGGAACCTTTATTTAAAATAATAGCTACAACTTCACAACAATTATGCATTACAGGCCTTAAAGATTCTTTATAAGCATCATGTTTTCGTATTGAAACAAATTGATACATTGAGATGAGAATCTATTTGTGAGGAAAGTTTTTTTCCCAATGGTTATTTTACGCTGAGCCATCCTGCCACCTGTTGGCAGCTCAGTGGCTGCTCAGCTCGGGCTGGGACTCAAACCGCTGTTGCTCAGAGCTCGCAGTCTTGAGCAAGCTCTTAACCAACTGAGCCACTCGGCCAGCCCGTGACGGAAGTTTTTTTGATTCATAACCTTCTTGAACTGTTCTACAAGTGTTGAAATAATAAGGCTGGCAACTGTTCATGAGTGAATTCCCCCTCTTTTTATGTAGAAAAGAACTAGGAAAAATTAAAATTAAGTTAAGTATGCCTGTGGATCTGAGTTGATTCATTCAAGCTGACTTTTGAACCCATATGCTAATTAACTTTTCTATATTTTAGATTAAAGCTTTCTGCATTGAACCAAGATAAACTGTTGACTGATGTAAATAGGAACCTATGGGAAAAAATGAGACACTGCTCTGATGAGGAGGTACTTTTGTCTCATTTTCTGAATGGGAATCATTATAGATATTTTGAACAATTTTTATTGTGAAATAGGTAACTGTTACTTGGTGTAATTAGTGATAAGTTCTTTAACTTCTGAGGTGTAATATGTTACCAAGGTTTTACTTAATTATACGTGAGTAATTGTTAATATATAATCTTTTCAAACCTGAAATTATCAATTTAATATATGAAATATAGTTGAAATTTACTTAGAGTTTCCTCCTCCTTGTTTGCTTTTCACGTAGCGTAGATGAGGAAAATATTTAATTGATTAAATAATAGGTAACTAATTTTATATGTGCCTAATATATTAAAATAATTCTATTAACTAAGAGCCTGTCATTTTCTAATATGTAATATTAGTAAGTAAATTAAAACCCAGGATCAAAATTCAAATCTTTGGTTCTATTCTTAGGCTATTAAATGAAATTAAATTTGCAAATGAGAAGTGCCCTGCCTTAAGAATCAGAGTCTAGAATTTGTAAAGCTTAGCATGTATCATCTGAACCAGCCTTCTCAGACCATTTGCCTTTTCTAACTCATTTGTTTTAGTGCAATATAGCCTTTGACTTTTTCTTTTAGCTGAAGGCCTTTGGAATTTACCTGAACAAAATAAAATCCCGTTTTACCAAGATGACTAAAGTCTTCACTCACCAAGGAAAAGTGGCTCTTTACAGCAAGCTGGTGCAGTCAGCTCAGGTATTTGAGACAGTTAATAGCATAGAAGGAAAGAGCTATTAAAATTACTTTATTGTAGTACTGGAATATGAAGAATGTTTCTTAGACATGTGAATGAGACTTGGGCAAAAACTTAGAATTATTCGTAAGAGGTGGAGTTCAATTTATAAAAAGTGGCAAATCCTGGAATCTTGAGTAATTTTAGAATATATTTACTAATATGGACCTACTTCTCATCTCAAGTTTGTTATCCATTTTACATGTAATAAAACAAGATGGGATTCTGATGTTTCATTACTGATGATTATACTATAGTATTATCTTCCTCATAATCCATACCCAGCTGTGTATGTTTGTGTATCACTTTAAAATAGCATTTCCCAAAATGATCATCCTTTAAGAAAGGTTTTGTATTTAAAAACTTTCTATTACAAATAAGTCTGGGACATATTATACGCAATATCCCCCTTTTGGAGAAATATACTAGCATATTAATGTCTAAAGTCAGAAATCTTTTCTTTAAAAAAGTCTGAAAAGAAAAAATGCTATAATTCTGTTTGTCCAGTGTTTCCCATATTTATTTGACCATAGAACATTTTTTAAGGAACACTTTTTTTAAGTAGTATATTAATATGTTACATGGAAATGCTGGAATAAAGGAAAGTACAAAAATGAGTTATTAGTATGACATCGGGGGGGTGTCATTTGAGGGGTAAAAAGTATAACTTTTGCACTGTGTTGTGCATCTGAAACTAATTAATTAAATAAATAAATAAATAAAATAAAAATGCGTTATTAGAGTTTATATTAGACTGGAAACTTTGACCTTAATTTTAAGATCTGCCTGTTCATGATTTAGACATAGCAGTTATGTCAGCTATTTGAAACATTTATAATATTGTCAAGTTTTGTTTGGAACTTTAACTTGACAGTTTATAATGTTGTGTGTTTAGAATGAGAGGAAGAAACTTCAGATAAGGATAGATGAGATGGACAGCATCCTTAAGAAGATTGCTAACTGTCTCACTGAGGTGGAAATAGGTAAAGTATTTTGAATTCTCTTCCAAAAGAAAATTTAATTTTATCTAAATGCTTTCTTACAGTGCAAATTGCCGAAATCACTATGCTGAAGCCTTGCATTAGCAGCTTGAGACATTAAATTAGAGCAAATTAAAGCTCCTTTACTATGGTTCTCCATAACACAATCAACAAGAGATGCCCAAGATAATAAACCTTTTTGAAAGCTCTTTATAACCTAAACCATAATCTCTTTTTTAAATAGATGAATTTATCCATTTAAAAATTAGCCTTTCAAGTTTGACCTTTTATAATCCCAACTTGTTTAGTATTGTCCTGAAATTGCTTTCTCAAAGATCACAGAATTCACATAATCATCAAATTTGGTAGCTCTCAGTCCTTAACCATCTTGACCTCTTTCAGCATTTGACATTGCTGATTATTCTTTTCTTCCTGAAAGTTGGAGCTCTCTGAACTTCTATGATCCTGCACTACCATGACCCTAGTCTTTTCTCGTGGTTGTTTCTTTTAACTCCTCTGTTGTCCCCGTGTGTAGGGATTTGGATTTTATCATCTACTCATTTCTATATTCTTTCCCCTAATGCTTTCACCTGCCTTAACAATATGTTTATATGAGTGATTCCCAAATTCAGTTAAATTCATCAAGCATTTTTGAGTACCTATTGCATGGCAAACATTGTGCTTAGCATCAGAAAAAAAGTATATTGAAGACATAGATTTTTCTATGTAGCTTGTAATCATTTCAGGTGAAGGCATCTTTAGCTTCTTTATCTTGAGTTCCAGACTTAACATTTTTAGCTTCCTGCTGAACCTCTCTGCAAACATGTACGTAAGCACATTAAATTCTGTGTGAATAAATAGACTTTATTGTCTTCTCCAATTTCCAAAATAAAATCTGAAAACTTGTTCTCCCTGATGTTTCTTGTCTCTATTAATGATGTCACCATTCTTATATCTTGTCAAAGGCTCAAAACTTTCATTGTCTTTAATTCTCATTTATTAAATGCTGTCATATCTGCTTCTTCATCTCTTATATTCTTTCCCATTCCCATTAAAGCTATCTTTAATTCTGAAATGTGCTATTTTAAGTCTTCTAACTTGAAATTTTTCTACACTCTTCATTCTATCTCATTCCAGTTCAACCTTCACATTGCTGCCAGATTAATATAATAATTATGGACAGTTTTCCTTACATTACTCCCCTGAAAAACTTTTCTGTCTTTCTATTTATTATAAAATAAAGTCCAAACTCCTGGGCTTGATATATAACATTCTCTACAGTCATTTTTAGATTTTTCTTTCTTACATGATTTATTATAATTACTCCCTTATACATTCTAAATTCCAACCACAGCTTATCATTTCTTGCTGTCCTGCCACTTTGTCTTGGCCAATGCATTCTCCTTCTGTTTTCTACCAAAAGAAGTAGTCTCTATCTCCCTTGAGCTCTCATGGCTATTGTGTTAGTACTTCTTATAATACCTATCACACCTACTTGTAATTAGAGTTACTTTTGTATAGTTTATCTTCCTAACTAAATTGTGAGTTCTATGGGAGTAAAAATCAGCTTTTACTTTTCTCCATATCCTTCAGAATTCTTAGCACTATATTTTCCACAGAACCTGTCTAGTACATGTTTTCTGCATTGAATTGATAATAAGTATATGAATTCCATAGTCTTAGACTTTCCTACCCCTTACTTTCTACTTCATGGAAAAAAAATAGAAGCTGTTAGGCCTGAACTTCTAAACTTCCTGCTACCGAAGAAACCAGTTTTACATATCTACATATCCATTCTGTCAACCTTTCTTTCTTTTCCCTAAGACCAATTTTTCCACCTAAACTTTAAATTCCATCCCGTCTTCTCTGCTCAGGAATCGTGTATCACTGATTTTCCCTTATCTCTTGTATATTCAGCCTCTCTACCTCCTCTACTGGATACATTCACCTCTCTCTCATCTTTAAAAAGACCAACAACCACACTTCCTTTTCTAGGTACCACTATTGAATAGCTCCCTATTTCTTTCTTGTTTCTTCATTATTTCTTGAGCAAATATACTGACTACCTACTAAAGGCCATGTACAGTGCTCAGTGCTAAGAATACTATGGTGATTAAAAACAAAAATTTTATGCCCGTTGGAGCTTTTAGTCTAGAAGAGAATATAAGAATTAAACAAATAATGTTATGGTAAGTGCTATGGAGGAGAGGTTACATGGTGCTGCTATAAGGTCCTAAAATAGAATTCTGACCTAGTTGAGTCAGGAGAGGCTTCCCTCTGAGGAAGTGACATTTAAGGTAAGATCTGAAGAATGAGTAGGAGTTAAAGTGAAGAGGGGAGAAAAGACTATTCAATATGAATAACACATGCAGAAGCCCTTCAATGGGAAAGAATGTACCAACTAGAAGGGTCTGAAATAAGGCCAACTGTGTCTGGAATAGAAAGAGCGAAAGGAAACGTTGTCTGAGAAAAAGCTGGGAGATGTCACCAGGGGCCAGGCCAAGGAGGGCCTCTTAAGGAGTTTTGACTTTTTCTAAGAACAGTGAACAGCCATTTAAAGGGTGTTAGGCACTGGCTGCAGTATATAAATTGGATTTTAAAAGATCAAGAGTAAATATAAGAAGTTCAGTAATTATTGGGCTGGTATGGTTAAAAATAGTAGCTTATATTAAGGGAGGCTGGTGGTGGTGAAAAAAATGTAGATTCAAAATATATATATTTTTTTTTAATTAAAATTTATTGGGGTGACAATGGCTAATAAAATTACATAGGTTTCAAGTGTACAGTTCTGTAATACATCATCTATATATCACATTGTGTGTTCACCACCCAGAGTCAGTTTTCCTTCCATTACCATATACTTGACCCCCTTTACCCTTTTCCAAAAAATATTTTTGAGGTAAGAATCTAAACTTGGTTTGGGAAGAGATTGGAATTTTAAGGATGACTTCAAGGTTTTAAAAACAAATTAAATAAAAATTTTTAAATGTGTGTGCATCCATTTATATGTGTGTATCTATTCCAGCTTAATCCATGGGGCTGCCTAACAATAACTTTGTTATACGTAAATTTATGTAAACAATTTTGACTCAAAGTGACTGAGAAATATTTACTTGAGATCATTGCCATATGGCCCAAAGTTCAGTTGTCTGACTCTAGAAGCAAGTTTTCATATGAAATTATAGCTTAGTGCTTTATTGGCAAGGAAAAGTAGGAGAAAGAAGAGTGTTTGTGAAATATTCTTGATTCATTTGGAGACCAAGTATTCTTTTCATCTCCAGTTGTTTAATTATTTTTGACTGAGTTATTCTAATGCACATTGTCTACTTAGAAACTAAGAATTTGGAGGATGAAGAGAAAGACAATCCTATGGAAGAATGGGATTCTGAAATGAGAGCTGCGGAGAAAGGTAACTGAATTAATTAAGGAGATAAATGGGAATAAAAAACCTTCTGTTCTGAGTTTGTTTATTTAGTTAAGATTAAGTGAGGTAGAATTTTCAATAAAACATGATTTTTGTAGCAACATTTCAATGTTTCCATTCTGATAGATTTGTTGTGATTTTTCTTTTCAAAGAACTAGAACAGCTGAAAACTGAAGAAGAAGAGCTTCAAAGGTAAGCCTTCAATTTGAATGTTAGAAAATATGCTAAACTTCACAAGGCTAAATGACTTTTTCTATGTCCAGAAACTGACAAGATTGGGGACATGACTATTCACTAAGTAGGGCTTCTGCTCTACTTTGACCTTGACCTTGGAGGCCATCTTAGTCCACAGTATTTTCTAAGCACTGTTATTTACAGGGCATTGATCCAAGGCAGTATTTCTCAAGCTTGAATATCCGGATTCTTCTAAAAATAAACCTAGCATTAAACTATTTTTATATTGTACTATTATACTTAAATAAGTATAAATAAGTTTAAAATGAGATGTATATTTCTTATACTCATGGATCTTATTTAACTGAAGACTAAAAGAAATCAAATATAGTGACAAAACCAATAGAATTCCAATTGACTACATTGGTTTGACATGTGATGATATTTGGCTGAAATTAAATTGATGCTAGCAAAATGACTAACAAAGCATAAGTTCTATTTAGACCTAATAAACTAAACAAGACCAAATGCAGGCATCAAAATTATGGCATGTCTCAGTTTTTAGGTAGGCTTTCTCATTTTCTGCATTATGCTTATGTTTTTATCATCAAAATGAAAATGTAAATGTTAGTAACAATAAAGAACATATGAACCCCCAAGGATATCTTTATGGATCCTAATTTGAGAGCCTTGATTTAGGCTTTTCTTAATTAGACCCACACTTCTACATTAATGCTCATTAAAAAAAAAATACCTGAGAATCCAAAAATAGATGCCATTCAACTCATTGGGGAGGCATCTAGCATGTGATTTCTTGTCATAAACTATTTATCTTAAAGGAGTCCGAATTTTCTAACAACAGACTTATCTTTCTGTGAATATCTGGTTTGATTTGCAGAAATCTCTTAGAACTGGAGGTACAGAAAGAACACACCCTTGCTCAGATAGATTTTGTGCAAAAACAAACAAACAGAACTGAAGAGTTACTGGATCAGTTGAGGTAAGGAAAAGCAGGTGTCATTAGTGTTTCATCCTATGCCTCTGTGATTGTCTAAACCAGGGGTGTCAAACTGGCAGCCCACGGGCCGCACGCGGCCCTCGAGGTAATTTTTTGTGGCCCACGATGCTCTGAAATAAAATGAAAATAGAAAACATTGTTATGAAGAAAATAGCGCTTAGGGGAGATCGAGGCAATACCGTACACACAATTCCCTCGTTAACCCTTTAACTACTGAAGACGAGTATACACGTGGCCCAGTGCCTTCCCTGGGGGCCTGTGGG